GCCTGGCTGGCCGTGCTGCTTGTAGGCTGGGGAGAACTGGGCCCCGTGTCACGCCTGATTGTCCCTGTAGGTAAGTGAAGAAAAATGGCCCGTACAAAGCAAACCGCCCGCAAGTCCACCGGGGGGAAGGCTCCGCGCAAGCAGCTGGCCACCAAGGCGGCCCGGAAAAGCGCTCCCTCTACTGGTGGCGTTAAGAAGCCTCATCGTTACAGGTAAGGCCGTCGGCACGGCCCGGCGCTGCCGCAGCCCCTGCCCCGCCTCACCCTGCCCGGCTCACCTGCTCCCTCCTTCCTCTTCCAACCAGGCCGGGCACCGTCGCCCTCCGTGAGATCCGTCGCTACCAGAAGTCCACGGAGCTGCTGATCCGTAAGCTGCCCTTCCAGCGACTGGTCAGGGAGATCGCTCAAGATTTCAAAACAGACTTGAGGTTCCAGAGTGCAGCCATCGGTGCGCTGCAGGTATTGCTCGTGGCCGGCAGGGCCCCGGCGCTCGCGGTGCTGAGTGTGCTTCGCTGAGGGTTTCTAACGACATTTCTTCTTGTCCTCTTGAAACAGGAGGCCAGTGAAGCATATCTGGTGGGTCTCTTTGAAGATACAAACCTGTGCGCCATCCATGCCAAGAGAGTCACCATCATGCCCAAAGATATCCAGTTGGCTCGCAGGATACGGGGAGAGAGGGCTTAAAATGAAGGCTGTTTTTATGGTGTTTTGTAGTTAATTCTGTAAAATACTTTGGTTTTAATTTGTGACTTTTTTTGTAAGAAATTGTTTATAATATGTTGCATTTGTACTTAAGTCATTCCATCTTTCACTCAGGATGAATGCTAAAAGTGACTGTTCACATAAACCTCAGTGATGTGAGCCTTGTTGCTCAGGAGTGACAAGTTGCTAATATGCAGAAGGGGATGGGTGATCTTTCTTGCTTCTCATGCATGTTTCTGTATGTTAATGACTTGTTGGGTAGCTAAACTTGTAAGGTACTAGAATTGATATAAATGTGTACAGGGTCCTTTTGCAATAAAACTGGTTATGACTTGATCCAAGTGTTTAACAATTGGGGCTGTTAGTCTGACCATACATCACTGTGATCAAATGTGGACTTTTTCAGAGGGTGAAACTACAAGTCTTAACCACAGTGTAACTTACAGTTTCCTAAAAAAAAAAAAAGTAAACCTGGCAGCTATAGAATACACTATGTGCATTTATAATAGCTATTTTATATATTGTAGTGTCAACATTTTTAAATTAAATGTTTTACATTCACATGTGAGGAGTCTTTGTCATTGGGTCTGTATGGGCTGGAAGAAGCTTCCTCCTGGCTCCCGTAGGGCAGCAGCAGATGCTGGTGAGCCTGGACTGCTGCTGTGGTGACTTCACTTTGTCAACAGAAGAGAAGAACTTTTTTGGAGGCTTTTCTGTAGCTTGAGTCATCACTCTTGGCCAGGGAGAGCAGAGCTGAGCCCGGCAGCAGCTTCTGCCTCCTGGGGGGCTCCCGGGGTTGTCACCAAGTTGAACAGCACCAATGTCAGCTCTGCAGGCATCGCTCCTTTCACTTGAGGCAGGGGAGGGGTGTTGGTGCAACTGGTCTGCCCCCAGCAAACCCAGCAGCGGCTTCCTGAGCTGTGTCTGAGGTGCGGGGGTGTTTGGGATCTGGCTGTGAGGGAGCCCCAGTTCCTGCCAGCGTGGGAGGGTGTGAGTGGCAGAGCTAATTATACAGCCTGGGAGCAGATGGGCTGCCAGGCAGGCTGGAATGGGCGCTCAATAAGATTCTCATTTCCCATCTGAGCTTTTTTGATGCACCAGGATTACACTCCAAGCCCTCATAGCAGCTTCAGCCGGGGCTGGGCTGCTCAGCACAGCCGCTGGGAACAGCCAGGCCCTGTTGGGCTGTGGTTGAGGAAAACTGCTCAGGCTAGGTCTGAAACACAGGTAATTAGCCTTTAAATTAAACTGCTTGGCTCCTTTAAGAACAGGCTGCACTAGTAAAGCTGGAGTTGGCACAGAAAAAATAGCACAGGGAAGTAGTTTAGCTTGCTCACCTGGATTTATTGCAGTGACATTCTAAGTGCTGTGGCAGAAGTGGCATTTGGGGAGGAAGAGCAGCAGTGGTTGGTAACAAGGAGGGGCAGGGGTGGCTCCTCAGCACCATTGTCTGCAGAGCAGGAGCCACGACAGCACTTCCTTCCACACCAATATCCTGAAAAACTGTCCTGCCTCCTGCTCTGGGGCTGGAGCCAGGGCTCTCCCTTATCAGACAAACCACTCGGTGTGCTGAAACCCTGCAGCTGGAGGAACAGGCTCCTTACCAGACGCCCTGACACAACACCCTCTCTGCCCTGCTCCCAGCGAGCTTCGCCCAAACACAGCCCACGGTCAACACCAGTATCATGTCTGCAGGGCTGCTCAGAACATGATCTAAAAGTGAGCTAAGATGAGGTTTTTAAACAAGTATTTTTCCTCACTGCTAAAACTGGAGGGAGTAAGATTTACTTGCATCCACGTTGTAATTGTTTTAAAGGCCTGGATCAAAGTTAAGCACCATCACAGGCTTCAGTTGACTCAAAGTGCTCTCAGGTGACCCACCTGGGCAGGTCTGGCCTGGGGGGCACCTGGCAGGGATCTCCCCTCAAGAAACCTGGGAGGCCTTGGTGCCCAGGAGATGTTCATTTCAGAAGCTCCATACAAGCTTCTGTTTAGACAGGTTAAAACAAAATAATTCCAAGTGATGGGATTCATGAATGCCTGGTTTGGTGCTGAACTGCAGTAGCAGCCTGGGCGCCTGCAGGAAAAGTATGTTTTAAAATAACATCCCTCGAAAACAATGTTTCCTCCAAGCTCTTAGTGGAAACAATGAACCATCTGGGTATGCCTAGAAGCTGTTTCTTAAAATAAAAACAACGTCTAGCAGTTCTTAAAAAAAAGACACAAAAAATAAAAAATAAAAACAAAAACTAAAACAACCAACAACAAACCAGGCAACACAAAAACCAAAACCACCAGAAAACTGTGCTGAAGTATCTCTTAATCTTAGTAACCTCAACAAAAAGAAACTGAGTTCTATAGTGCATGTGGGGGACCAGAGCAACTGTTCTTGGTGTTCTGTGACCTCGCTGTGATACCTGGAGACACAAACCATTCCCTTACCGATTCTCCTGATGATTTCCTCGCATTCTTGCTCAGAACTGGATGCAAACACCAGGCAGTCGAATGTGCTCCCGCCAGGGTTCTCGGGGGAAGTGCTAAAAACGGAAACACCTATATTAGCCAGCAGAAAAGAGCAGCTCTGACAGCCCAGCGCTGGCTTGTACCCACACCACAGACCCTGCAGCTGGGCTGGGTGTCACTTGGTTGTTTTCCAAGACCCACGTCCCCCTGTGTCCCCTCCCCAGGGCCCACGGCAGCACTCACGCCACACAGAAGGCGAAGAAGTTGCCCCTGTCCACGCAGCGTCCCACGCAGGAGATGGTGGGGTAGGGGTAGCGGCACAGGAGCTGTGCAGGAGGGACGGGGTGTTGGGGGCTGCTGTCAGTCCCCATCTTCCCTGTTCCTGGTTTAAACTGTCCCCACAACCCCTCCAGCTGGGCTCCCTGTACCATGAGATCAGCAGCCTCAGTCGTCACCCAGGTCTTGGGTGTCACTTGCTCACCTTGGAAGAAGCCTTCTCCTGGACCAGGACTTCTGCTTCCTTCACGTCAAATAAAACTTCCTGGATGGGGGATGGAGGGGGGAAGAAGCCCCAGTCATCACAGGGCTTGAGCTTTATCTTTAGTAAGACACTTACAAAAGAGGCCATTCAAAAGCAGAGGTCATGAAGCACCACCAAACACAGCTTTTGCAAGGAATTCTCTCTGTATTGCCCTTTTCATCACCACCCAGTGCTCTCGCAGTTGAATCTTATCACAAACAACCACCCAAAGGCTCAAGCTACAATGAGCTGAGTCCTAAAGCACCCCCAGAACCAAGCTCAGCTTCCTCACAGTCTTCCAAGAGCTTTCCTGCAACTGGTTGTATTATTTTTTTTTTTTCCCCATAATGTACATTTCTCTCCTGCATGGATGCTTCTAACCAGAAATAAATCCCAAGAAAACCAAAACCACAGGGTTGGGGGTGTCAAACACTCAGCTGGGCCAAGGGAGCCTGGTGCCAGCAGAAAAATAAAAATAGCCCTGGGCAGAGACCATATTTTCCTGCAGTTTTCACATCAAGTCCTTTCCCAGGATGCCCTCAGCCCTGTCACTCACCCGTGCAGCTGAGTGCTTCTCCAGCACAGCAGGGATGGCCCAGTCCAGCACCTCTTTCCCACCATACTGAAATGAAGCAGGAAGGAAGGAATAACCCACAGACACATGAAAATAAAAACAAACCCAGAAGCAAATATTGACCCCCAGGCACATGTCAGCCCCATCACCTCACCTTCCCAATGCTGGTCCGGCCCAGGTACTGCAGGTTGTAGAGCAGCCTGGGGAGAAAAGGACTCCAGGTCATCAGAGCAAGGACCCCCTGCTGCTCTTTGCAGGGGAAGATGCTCACAGCCCCCCACTCCCCCCAGGCCACGGGGGCAGCTTTGGCCCAATGCCTTGAGTGGAGAGCAGGGACAGTGTGGGCACAGGGCTACCCCAGTGCTGGGACACCCAGCCCAATTTGGGGTCCCCATGGTGCCAGACCCTACCTGCCCCCCTGCAGCCTGCGGGGCTCCCCTTCAGCCCTGTGCCGGGGGCCCTGCTGGAGCTGGAAGTTGGGCTCCTTCTCCTTCAGGACCTTCAGGTAGGGCAGCAGTGGCTCATAGACCTCCCCGTCGTGCCACCGCCACCGCAGCAGGCGGAAGCTCAGTGGTTGTCCCTTCAGCTTCTGCAGCATGGCCCCAGCCTGGAGAGAGGGGGGAGGATGAAGGAAGGAAGGTGGCAGGAGAGGAGGAGGTGGGGGGGACACACCAGCCCTCCATGCCCACCCACCTGCCCACTGTAGGCGTTTCTCAGTGAGCAGCCATTGATCTCGTCGAGGATGTCACCAGCCAGCACCACCTCATCCACCTCTGCCTGGCTCTCAGGGAGCACCTCTGTGACAAAGACTCGGCCATCCACGTACCTGGGGGTGTGGCTGAGCCTCAGCTCGGTCCTGGGGACCCAGCCCATCTCCCCAAGCCCTGTCAGACCAGCAGTGATGTTTCACCCATACACAGGAGGCACAGAAAAGCCACCCCACAGACAGCAGAGCCCAGTGAGGGTGAGCTGATGGGGAGAAGACCACCTGACACAACCCAAATAGTCTCAGCAGGGTTTTATCTCCCATTTTTTGGAGAGGGGTTTGCTGCCATGGTCTGTAGATCCTGCAAGAGAGGTGGATCCAGAGGTCCTACCTGAGCACTACCCCCAGCGCTCGGCACGGCACCGTTTCGTAAGTGATGCGCACCTGGAAGAGAGTGGCCATTGACAGTGGCCCTGGCAATGACCACAGGACACCAAAAAGCATGACCAGGACAACAGGGAGGATGGGAACCCCTTGCCCTGGGTATTTCTGACACTGATGCCAAAACAGGGCTTTGGGAGCCCAGGGAGAGGCTGGTCCCCAGTGTCCTGGGCAGGGTTGGGACCATCAGTGACTGCTTGCCCTTGTCCTCTCCTGGAATTCAGCTGTGCCCAGACCCTGGAGGGACAAACCTGTCAAATGTATGGGATGGCAAAGCAGCCTGTGGACCCTTCACTCAGCCATGAGCCCCTCCTCCCCTGTCCCATGGGTCCCCATGCAGCAGGAGGAGCAGTGACACCCTGTGCCAGGGCTGCTGCCATTTGCAGCACCAGGGACATAAAAAGTGGCCACTTTGGGAACACTTGCCATTAGAAATGCCCAAAATCCAGCAGGATCCCAGCCTCTGCAGCAGTGCCATGGCCCCAAAGCCACACAAAGCTTTTTTTTCCCCCCTTTTTAGGGGGAATTCTTTTGCATTAAAAAGGCAGCAGAGGGATGCTCCTCATTTTTAAAAGATACCAAATATCCCTGCTGTTCTCAATAAACACACTGATATTACACTGGGCAACAGCAAGAGCAAAACCAACTGACACATAATCTGTGTCAGCCCAGAGAAATTAGGAATTTTGGGGCAAGAAATCAGGGAAGGGAGCATGGGAAAACTTTGGTTTTGTCACCAATTTAGACCTGGGTACTATTCTGGCTTGGGAGTGCTGGGATCTGCTCCTGGTGACAGCACAGGCACCCGGCAGGATCAGACCTTGGTGGCAGAGGTGGCTCTGCTCGTGCTGGTGAACCT